AGGCATAATGTTTAATACAATATATGTGCTTCTTACAATCAATATATCTTTCGTTCCAATGATACATATATAATATCTGGATGTCCAATGTTTAATATAATATCTTTAGGTCCAACGATCAATATAATATCTTTAGGTCCAACGATCAATATAATATCCTTAGGTCCTATGTTTAATATAATATCTTAAGGTCCAACAATCAATACTATATCTTAAGGTCCAACAATCAATACTATATCTTAAGGTTCAATGTCCCATACACTTCCTAATGTCCAGTGTATTGATCGCATACCAGAGCCAATTAAAAATAATTATCCGCGCCTGACACATCTTGAACATGAAAACATTGGAGGCTGGCCTTGGATGCCCCTCCCCCCACTCAATCACGTCTTCACAGGGCGAGCTTAAGATGAGGGAAAAACAAAACATACGGGGGGTCATTAGATTTACACGGCTAATTATCAATCAGGATCAGACCAAAAGCTGTTTACAGATCCTAGATCATGTTGATGTTATGGATCTGATTTACGTTGACGTTATAGTTGTAGTTCATGTTGACGTCATAGATCCTAATTCATGTTGACGTCATATATCACAGTTCATGTTGACGTTATATATCCTAGTTCATGTTGACGTCATATATCCTAGTTCATGTTGACGTCATATATTCTAGTTCATGATGACGTCATATATCCTAGTTCATGTTGACGTCATATATTCTAATTCATGTTGACGTTACAGATCCTAGTTCATGTTGACGTCATATATTCTAATTCATGTTGACGTTACAGATCCTAGTTCATGTTGACTTCATAGATCCTAGTTCACGTTGACGTCATATATCCTAGTTATCGTCATATATCCTAGTTGACGTCATATATCCTAGTTGACGTCATATATTCTAGTTGACATCATAGATCCTAGTTCACGTTGACGTCATAGAGCCTAGTTGACGTCATAGATCCTAGTTTACGTTGACGTCATAGATCCTAGTTCATGATAACGTTACAGATCCTAGTTTATGTTGACGTTATAGACTTGTTCTACAGCCGACTAAGGTAATACGATGTTGTGTCCAACGCACCAATTGGGTCATGTAGCCCACTAGGCAGTTAGCTGCCCCACCCCCGGGGAGCTGTAACGCCCCTGTGTCATGGAGCTGACACCAGTGACGTCATTAAGATGAAATGAGAGGCACCCTGAGAGCTGTGAATCCTTTTAAAAAGGGGAGAACACTCTAAATTATTAGCCCAATTTAAGATATTGGCCTCCTGTACAGGATAACCTATATTTATATTTGACCCACATTTCACGTTGACCCACTTTAACATACGATCACTTTACTAACAGTCCTAGATGACCCAGTTAAAACGAACTTATCCAATTTTAAGTCATTCTTCTTCCTTGTCGACCCCTAACCCCATTACAATTATTGCTTTAGGATGATCCCAATAGGATTCTGGTGCTCAGATGTAATACTCCAGGTTCACGTACCTTTCTGTTAAAGATTATAATGAAATAACGTATTGTAATGTTTGATGTTCTCTGCTTGAAATGAAATAACTTGTTGTATGTAATGTTTGATGTAGTGTTCAACAGAAGACACATGTTAGGAAGTAAAAAAAAACAGGAAATGTCCTAATATTATGGAGGGATGGTGCCACAGAATCTGTACAATTATGTCGTCCTGAAATTAATCGAGCTCACTATTTTCATTTGGAGTCGGCACGCAAGGCATAGAGATCAACGGGGGCTTTAGGGACACACAAGGGCAGGCAGGAATAGGGCAGGGGGGGGGGTATTTTAAAATCTCTGAGAGTAGTTCTATAGTACTGGTAGCACATGTGTGTAAAAAGTTCCCTTTTCAAACCTGACGGTCTATAGGGCAAGTGAAGTAGAGTTCACTTGTTTCTGTGCATATGAAGAGATAGTGTGGTCAGCACTATGCCCAGCCGCCTTTATTTCCCTAACGTGAGTTAGTTACCCATCTGAGTTGGGTGGACTCAGGGACGGTCTACTAACTTGAACCCGGATTCGAACTCGAGACACACGGGTTAGCAGTCCATCTTTCTACCGCTAGACCATTCCGTCCCAGTCATGTGTGTGGTCTGTCAGTATGTACACGTACACAGCTGATTACCAGTAAATGATTCGATTTTTGTTGTTGAAAAACTTAACTTCTCCTTAAAACATTCCTCCTAGAATATTAATAGTCATAGAATAAAACAAAGGCATCAGTTGAAGTTAAAAGATGAGCCGGATGTTAAGTGTTAGTTCGCGTCAATCACGTGGTACACAACGTGGCATCAAGAGAGTCAGTTGATTGGACATGTCAATCAACGGTCACGCCAGTCATTGGTCACGTCACTGAACGGTCAAGTCCATCTATGACCACGTCAACTAAAGGTCACGTTAATTAATGATTGAGCTCACCAACGCTGGGATTGGTACTTTAAAATAAGGATCAGAAAGCTACCCAGGAACAAAGGTTTTTATAAATCACAAAGGGCTTTAATTACAAGGCAATAACCAACAGGCTACGGTCTGAGATTTGCATAATGCTGTCTCACACGCGGGGTCATTTGAACAAACATTGGTTTATTACAGACATTTGAACAAACATTGGTTTATTACAGACATTTGAACAAACATTAGTTTATTACAGACATTGGAACAAACATTGGTTTATTACAGACATTTGAACAAACATTGGTTTATTACAGACATTGGAACAAACATTGGTTTATTACAGACATTTGAACAAACATTGGTTTATTACAGACATTTGAACAAACATTGCTTTGTTACAGACATTGAAACAAACATTGGTTTATTACACACATTGGAACAAACATTGGTTTATTACAGACATTGGAACAAACATTGCTTTGTTACAGACATTGAAACAAACATTGGTTTATTACAGACATTGGAACAAACATTGCTTTATTACAGACAGACATTGGAACAAACATTGCTTTATTACAGACAGACATTGGAACAAACATTGCTTTATTACAGACAGACATTGGAACAAACATTGCTTTATTACAGACAGACATTGGAACAAACATGGCTTTATTACAGACAGACATTGGAACAAACATGGCTTTATTACAGACAGACATTGGAACAAACATGGCTTTATTACAGACAGACATGGGAGCAAACAATGTTTTATAGCAGAAATATATCTTGAAAACTATGCCTTGTTACAGATATATTTAAGCAACATATTTTTATTGGTCCAAAAAAAGCCAGCCATAGCTGTCACAAAAGATTAGCTATCACAATACCGTTAATTTTGAGTTTAGACGGTATGTCGTATTCTGTTTACTTTCTTTTAACAATCTTCCATTAAAAAACACCTTCAGAGCGTTGATTAATTTTTTCAAGTTAATACCAGTTACAATAGTTTAAAAAGTCACCAGGAACAATAACAAAACAAAAAAATACAATTCAGACAGTCTGCTTGATTTTTGTTTGCTATTCTTAAAGTTCGGGAGCATTAGCAGCGAAAGTAGAACGACATTGTCAGCAAAGAATAATGTCATAGAGATTTTATCCTTTGCTCAAAAAGTAGTTCCTGACTTTGTAAACAAGTTTTCGAGTGATTTATGTTTTTGTTTCATTTCCGATGATCCTTCTTTTGATTTCTTAAGAAACACAGCTCTGGTAAATATAGCGTCTATAATTCTAAAAATAGTAACACTGTTTTGTACTTTTATAGTTTTCATTAGTCGCTTGTCATTTTATGTTCACTAGATACAAGTCACACTATTTATATTGTGTTCACTAGGTCATCCGTACACTATGTAAGAATGGAATGAAATAAGGTGTTGGCTAGTATGGCAGAGTATGTGAGTAAACATGTAATTTTTCTCAAATATGTCTCAATATGTAAGCAGAGATTAAATTTGTCTTATAATGTAAGCAGTCATTACATTTGTCTCACGATGTAAGCAGACATTGTATTTGTCTCGCGATGTAAGCAGACATGATGAATGAATTCAACTGAGCAAGACGCGTTATGTCAGTGGGGTTCATTACATTTCAGTGACAGCTGTAGTGTGAGTGTAATTACATTTCTGTAACGACAAAGGGAAGTAACTAAATTAACCTCCCTTAACCCCCCCCCCCTCTATTCAGACGCACCATCTCCAAATCCAAACACCCTTCTCCCCACAAGGACTGTGACGTCATTTATAGACGACCTTAAAAGTCCCAAAAATCCACCATCTTAGTTTAATATTTAAGGGAAGCAGTTATCGCTGTTTTATTTTTATATTTTGTCCGCAGATATCATCAGATACAACATTATATTATTTTTATCATCACCATCATATCCTCTACAACACGAATTCATAGATTGCTCATGCACACGTTTTGCGCACGCAGTTTTGTCAAAATAAATGATGTGACAAAAACATCAATTCAAGTTGTTCTGAATGAAATCCTCGACCTTCAGTGGACAAAAGAAATGCTATCGTGCATAAAAAAAAAAAACCCACTACAATCCATCATCCGATAAATTGTAGTTTTTAAAGCAAAACGTTCAGACACATTTTTCTACACTCTCTATACTGCTTTATCCATCGGGCCATTACAATCACGGGGAGTGGATAGCCATCCATGTTATCCAGTCTCTCATTCTCACCCCCGATCAATATCCGCCATCTTGAGACAGAACATGCCACAAAAACACGAGCATAAACTCTGTAGCCTCTACACAACCTTCAAGGAATAATCTCCCATCATGCACCTGACATAAGTCCCGCGCCAACCGCGGCCATTTTGTCCCAGATTTCATGGCGGGAAAGTGCTGCCATTTCCATGCGCAGATCAAACGTGCCATGACGTCATCGGACATGAAAGCGAAAATGCGCTTAAAAATATGTTAGTTATTTATGAAGCCTACCTCCCCTCCCCCACCCCCTGACTGACTGAATATTTGAAAGTTTGACAAGTCTAGTCAAGTCAAGACACAAACAGTGACTCACCTCGTTTCTTGTTGCTTGTGTCGGCTGAAACAAACAGATAAATGCTTGTTACTATTTTTAGAAATGTAAACACGACAGGTATACGTATTGCGTGAGTTTTACAGGTAAATGACATGTTTTACAGGTAAATTACTTGATAAAAGGTAGATGACAAGGTATATGGTAAATGAGATTTGCTTGGGGATTAAAGATTTTAAAGACATGACGTTTTGAGCAGGTAAATGACATGGTAGAAGGGAAATGACATTTGATGGAAGATGACATATAGATGAAATGAGGTGCAGGTAAGTATCTCATGCAGATAAATGCCATATTGTGCAGGTAAATGCCATATTGGGCAGGTAAATGCTATATTGTACAGGTAAATGCCATATTGTACAGGTAAATGCCAAATTGTACAGGTAAATGCCATATTGTACAGGTAAATGTCATATTCTGCATGTAAATGTCATATTGTGCAGGTAAGTGAAAGTCTTGTGCCAATTAAACAAGCTGATGTGCAGGCTAATGACAGGATGTGCTGACAGACTGTGTGTAGATGACAAGTTGTGCAGATGTTCAAACAATAATTGTGCAGCTAGTAGATGAGTTAGTCAATACGACAATAATATAGGTGTTGATAGGGTTTTAGTCAATACGACAATAATATAGGTGTTGATAGGGTTTTAGTCAATACGGCAATAATATAGGTGTTGATAGGGTTTTAGTCAATACGACAATAATATAGGTGTTGATAGGATTTTAGTCACGTTTTTCGTTTAGACGACAGGTTAAACAATCAGGAATCAAATAAACACCTTAGATCTTTAAACTAACCAAACCAGTTTAGCTCATGAGCTGAAGGTAAGTAAAAAAACAAAAAACCCATGCCATTAGTAACGTAGACATTTCGAAATGACATCCATCCAAAGAATATTTTTGCTATTTTTGGTCGGTTATTAAAAGGCTATTTACAAAAGTATTCTAATCAAACACCGCACTTTTAAGAACACGCGCTTAAAACGTCTTTGTGTTTGTTAATTATAATCACCGAACGCTTCCAGATTCATCTTCAAGTGGTTTTCTGGGGAATAATTTGTTTTCAATTTACTGGCGCGCAAGACGAGAACACGACACCAGAAATCATCTTCAGAGCGCAGAGTTGTCTGCTGTTGGCTGTCGAGGGTTGCCGCCCTTGCCCATATCACGGCGCCTCCGTTACCTTGGCGACATGATATCAACAATTACACGGAACACGTCGTTTTTAAAGCCATCTGATATATCAAAGAATCGTCAGGGTGTAAAGAATAAATGAAACGGTTTAAAAATAGATGATTTCATTTAAAACAAGTTGAAACACAAGAACAAAAAATGGGTATAGAAGTCTAACATTTGAAATAAAGCTGGTAAAAACATGCGCAGAACCATGCCGGGTCACTAAACATGCCACAATAACGTCACTAAACAATTTTTATAATACTAGACAGAGTATGGGGTCATATGAACATGAGACAGTGATATGGGGACGAACATACAGACAGCGAATTTGAGATATGCAAATTTGATTGCGGATGATTGCGTGTAGACAAAAATCTCCCACGGCAGTCGTCTGCTTGTGATCAGACTCAGATTAAAAAAAACGACAACCTTATCTTTCAGTACTCAGACGTTTTGATGTCGCTGTGTCATGCACACTACTCGCACTAGCTAGTCTTATATTAGCGCTGCCTAGTCTCTGTCTAGCGCTGGCTAGCCTCTGTCTAGCATTTGCTAGCCGCTGTCTAGCACTGATTGGCTGGCTTCTCTCTAGCATTGGCTAGCCTCTGTCTAGCGCTGGCTAGCCGCTGTCTAGCGCTAATTGACTGGCTTCTCTCTAGCATTGGTTAGCCTCTCTCTAGCTTTTCAGCCATGCTGCGCTAGTTTATAACTGCGGTGACTGGTAGTCATCAATTGCATGCCATTAATATTCTAATTATAAATTAAACAACAGCAACCAAATGGTACACAGTTTCTATGTGAGACTTGCAAATACCGTAAAGAACTAGATACTTTGCCATTTTAAATTGTTGCCACATATAACATCACAAACTATATGCAACATGACGAATAGAAAATTAATACAACAATAAGAGTATTATGATTATACAACAAGACGAATAGACAGTTAATACAACAATACGAGTATTGTGATTATATAACAAGAACAATAGACAGTTAATACAATACGAGTATTGTGATTATGCAACAAGACCAATAGACAGTTGATACAACAATACGAGTATTGTGATTATACAACAAGACGAATAGACAGTTAATACAACAATACGAGTATTGTGATTATACAACAAGACGAATAGACAGTTAATACAACAATACGAGTATTGTGATTATACAACAAGACGAATAGACAGTTAATACAACAATACGAGTATTGTGATTATATAGCAAGAACAATGGACAGTTAATACAACAATACGAGTATTGTGATTATACAACAAGACCAATAGACAGTTAATACAACAATACGAGTATTGTGATTATACAACAAGACGAATAGACAGTTAATACAACAATACCAGTATTGTGATAATACAACAATACGAGTATTGTGATTATACAACAACAATAAGTGATTGGACACAAACGACAAGGTGAAGATCAGGTTGGTGTACATCAACTGTGTACTGTGTACGTATAGTGGCTAGTGAGGGTTTCAATAAAGATGGCTCTAAGTGGACTTTTTGTGTACATTAGATAAATATATTTAGAGTAAACATTAATGATAAAATCATGCGTACTTTGTGTAAACTTTAATCAATCAATAGTCATCTTAAGCAACGAATACGTGTACTTGATGTGTACCTTGACACACCATGAAAGAGAGACGTGACATGTACAGAAAAGTGTACAAAGAGAATGTGACATGTACAGAAATGTGTACAAAGAGAGATGTAACACGTACAGAAATGCGTACAAACTACAGGTGTGACATAAACAGAAATGTGTACCAAGAGAGATGTAACACGTACAGAAATGCGTACAGAGAAATGTGACATAAACAGAAATGTGTACCAAGAGAGATGTAACACGTACAGAAATGTGTACAAACTACAGGTGTGACATAAACAGAAATGTGTACCAAGAGAGATGTAACACGTACAGAAATGCGTACCATTGAGGACATCTATTCTGGTGGAGTCGATGAGGAGGTCAGAAGTCCGGCAGACGTAGATTCCAGCATCGTTCATGTCCGCCTCCTGCACCTCTAGGATGCTCTCGATGTTCCGCTCCATCAGGTTCACGCGCTTCTGTATGGTCACCTGCAACACTCGGCTCGTTAGTGGGGAGACAGTGGAACGTATTCATTAACTAGACTGGTACTAGAGGGGAGTGGATCTTACAGATAGGTAGTGGCACACTTGTAGCATGTGCTCTTTACAGTACTTTTAAGTAGTAGTACACTAGTGGAACTTGTTCTTTACATCATTATAAACTAGCGAAAAGTGTTATTTACAGAATGATTATTAGACTAAAATTAAAACCAAAGAAATGTGCTATGTACAGTACTATTAAGCTAACCTAAAACCAGTGGAATGTACACCTTATATTATAAAAAACTAGCTTCACCCACTCCTAACGTGCTCTGTAAAGCATTATTAACTAGCCCGACATCATGACAACGTGCACAAAGTTCCCACGCTACATACAAATCTACTAATCATATTATTTTCTTAGGTTTTCATTATTCTAATGAAGACTTTTATTAACTCTTCATTTTGTTGTATTTTTATGTTTCGCAAGAACTTATGAACTATCCATCAATCCTGCAATGTCGCATTAACAACTGACCTTTTTGTCGTCATCCGTGGCCAGTTTTTGGCCATTTCTAAACCAGTCGATTTCATCCGCCCCCTCCCCCGTGGCGTTGCAGATGAGCTTCAACTTGTGACCTTTCTCTACGTAAGTTTTCCCGCTGATCTTGATGACTGCTTGGTGGGAAAAAGAGGGACGTTATTTACAGGTGCAAGTCTACCACAGGTGTAAATCATTTACAGCTGACACTAATTAACACAAAACTAAAAGTAATTGCACGAGATCATAAATGATTTATAAAAGTAGAAGTTTTAATGTTTATTTAAAATGTGTTTTGATTATTTAAATGAGGTTACCTATATACAAGCACGCACGCACGCGTACATAAGCACACACATCCCCCCCCCCACAAACACTATTTTTGATACAACATTGTTAGACGTTTGGTAAGATGCATGCATACATTAAGTTATATATTTGTAAATAATAAGACTTCATTATACAACATGTATTAAAATAATTAGCAGATTAAATAAACCGGGAGTGATCTACCCTAAACTTTCTCGAATATTCTTATATAAAACAACAGGGGATGGGGACTCGGGATATATACAAGATTTTAAATACTTAAACTTTTAAAAATAGAATCAAATCTTGTGGAAAAAGAATTGCACACCAAGTGAACGTCAAATAAAATGTGCATAATAGTGCGCAATATTATTAGTACTTTATAAATTTACATTAGTTTTTTTGAGAAATCGGAAATAGCGTAAATTACTACTTCCGTTCAACGGAAATTACTGAAAATTTGTCAGAGGGTAGAGAATTATTTTTTTTACTTACATGTGAAATTTTATTTATCTATCTGAAATAGTACTCAAGTTATAGGCTTTTGAAAAATTCAAAGTAGAAAAAGTACCACTTCCGGTTATCGGAAATCGCTAAAAAGTTGAAACGGATAAAATACTTATATATGAAATTTCATCAACCTAGCTGTAACGGTACTCAAGTTATCGTGTTTACACACATACAGACACACATACACACACACAACACAGACATACGGACAAGATTGCAAAAATATGTTTTTTTCGACTCAGTGAGGTCTAAAACGTCGAGATTTGCAAAAATCTCGATTTTTTTTGTACGATTAAGACTTTCTCTATACTTTGTTTATACGAGAAAGTAAAAATCACGCCTGTTTAATATATTTAAATAAACCGGGAGTGATCTCCCATAAACTTTCACGAATATTCTAATATAACACTACGTGGGATGGCAACTCGGAAAATAGACATGATTTTTGTTTACTTAAACTTTTAAAAATAGAACAAAATCTAGTAGAAAAAAGAATTGCAAACCAAGCAAACTTCAAAACAAAATGTGCATAATAGTGCGCAATATTATTAGTACTTGCACGGTTACAAGACTTTCTCTATACTTCGTATATACAATAAAGTAAAAATTACTTTTTATCACACGCAATTTGCCACCAACGAGAATATTATACAACACACAGTACGCTATTTACTAACATACCCCGTAAAATAGTGTTATTGTTTGTATTTACGTACATGATGAACGTTACATAATAAAACATATCTCCGTAATTAATACGAAAGCTTGCTTTGAGAAGTACACATAATTATCAATGTTATTTTATTTAGTGAATATAATTTTAAATAATTTATCTAATTCGATAATTATTGTTCATGGATTTACATCAATCAGTTAAATTACTTCCCCTGCCTTCATTACACATCGACAGTTACCCCAATTTGTTTCCCTTTATTTTATCACTAAAAAGCGTACAGCAATGATCACTTACCTGGTTTAAGTTTCGATTTTCTTCCCCCTGCTGTGGAATCGAAATCAACTATACATTACTATAAGACAACATGTCAGAAAAAAACATTGATGGCAAAAATAAAAGCTAATTTAAACCAATCTAAAAATAGCACACGAATGAGATGGAGATAAGGGGGGTAAACAACAATCATGCTCTGTGGCCACCACTTAGCTAGACAACAACATTACCCAGAGTTCCACGCTCAGTTGCTGATACAGGGGACGTAACTAACACACAAGGGACATAACTAACTGAAATCATTATAAAACATGGCTAGTAGAAAATAAAAATGGAAGAGTAAAAAAAAAGGGTATAATGGTTTATGGAGATGGCATTGGTTTATGGGGATGGCATTGATGATAAATTTTAAACTTGGTTCAAAGAATTAACAAAGAGACAGCGACCCAAGCAAGAAGTTAGCTTTCCAATACACTAGCCACATATCTGAGATTGTTCTCGCTTTACTAATTACAAAACACTATTCGAATAACAACTCTATCTACCATTCTACCACCTTTATATCCACCAGCAATGATTTTTTTTCTGCCCAACGTTTAAACACAACCACTAAAGCTCCACCAACATCCACTAAAGCTCCACCAACATCCACTAAAGCTCCACCAACATCCACTAAAGCTCCACCAAACATCCATTAAAGCAACAAGAACCAACATCCACTAAAGCTCCACCAAAAATCCACTAGAGCTCCATCAACATCCACTAAAGCTCCACCAACCAACATCCACCAAAGCTCCACAGACTGCCGCTAAAGCTCCACCAACATCTACTAAAGCTCCAACATCCACTAAAGCTCCACCACCCAACATCCACCAAAGCTCCACCGGCTTCCGCTAAACGGTCTGTCCAACTTTTAAGGACATGTCAGTTACCGGGTAATTTTTCCTCTCCGGTCCGTCATTCTGGAACCGTCGGAGCAGACGGGAGGAATTTCCGTGGCCAGGGGATCGTGTCAAGACACACAATCAATTTCAAATTCGTTTTTATCGATTTGATAGAAAAGTGATCTCAAGTCGTGTATGGCGGCACTCTCTACTTTCAGAGGTGTTAAAAATGTATTTGAGAGAAAGTTTTAGCTGAATCGTCTTTTATAATTAATGCTCAACCAGACTTAGAATGTCTTAACATGTACACACCAGCCTTATGGCATTAAACAATGCATGTCTAGAACTCTAAACGCAACCTATGGTAAGATATTCACGCTAGACGCTACATCCGTTCAGGTAAAATCTCTGGTAACCATGGTAACAAAGCTGCATGGAACGAAGACTCAAAAATTACTTTCAAGAAGCGCGGGCCATTTATTTAATCTCGACTGCGTATCTGTCATGTGACTGGTACAATAAAACGTCACATGATCTCAGCAGTGCCATCTACATTCAGGGGCGGAGCTTGAGGAGAATGTTGGGGCGGATCAGCGCCCTAGGCGGGGGCTACGCCTTTGATGTAGTCTGAGTGAGCCTTTGATTTGAGTGAAGTGATGCTTCATTATTTCATAAAGCACCTGCCACCACCCTCCCTCTGTAAACTAAGGTACGCCTTTGGATTCTATTTAAAACAAATATCTGATGAACGCTCAATGGACGGAATCCAATTGCTGTATTGCATAGTTAAAAGATTACGGGAATTTCCATAAGACTCCCAGACTAAGAGACATTAACACGTACATGGTCAATTTCTTGAAGGTTATTTCTTGGTCAATTTCAAGTTCATTTGCATGGGCAAAGTCTTTTAAAACATTTAAAAAAAAAACAACTAAAATTAGAGAACTTTTTAAAGAATAGAAAGGCTGAAACCAGCAAACGAATCTTAAGGCAAATGTCAGCAGGGCTGGGCCATTAGGCGGGCCATTAGACGGCCCATTAACTGGACCGCAGGTTTACGCTTTATTAGATAATGTGAATCGATTCGATCAACTTAACATTGTTGTTAAAAATGTTGGGGTCAACGGCTGAAACTTTACTAGCAGGGGATGTGGGACACCACACGTGATGGTATACAAATGTGGTCTGGGTTGTATACACATGTGGTCTGGGTTGTATACAAATGTGGTCTGGGTTGTATACAAATGTGGTCTGGGTTATATACAAATGTGGTCTGGGTTGTATACAAATGTGGTCTGGGTTATATACAAATGTGGTCTGGGTTGTATACACATGTGGTCTGACTTCTATTCAAATCTGGTCTGACTTGTATTCCAATGTGGTCGACTAGTATACAAATGTGGTCTGACTTCTATTCAAATCTGGTCTGATTTCTATTCAAATGTGGTCTGACTAGTATATAAATGTGGTCTGACTTCTATTCAAATGTGCTTAGTTACAGCTCAGTTACCTACCCTTTTTATTCGAATATAGCAGTATTTGAACTATTTTGCAATAAATAGTTATTATACTGAAAATTAGATATTCTTGTGTTGTTTTCGGAGAATCAATATCTTTAGTTTGAAAGAAATTACTTCACTGAATACTGACAGTAAACTAGCAAAAACTAGAGAATATTTTTGAGAATGAATAATTTCCGTCAGAACGTAACAGTCATTTAATTATCTCTCAAAGTAGTTTTATAGGCATTTTTTACGATGATTGTAGGGATGTGTTACATAGACATTAAACGATTAGGGTAATGTGTTACAAAGACAATGCATGAGAGTTTGGCGAGCCATGAGATGATATGATAAAGGATATTTGTAACAAGTGTTTATATGTGATGTGTGCGGGACTTTGTAGGAAAGAGAGACAGGAGAGTTTCACAAGATTGTTACAGATGAGAGTTTCACAAGATTGTTACAGATGAGAGTTACAGAGGATTGTTACAGGATAAGAGCACAGCATGGAGACTTACGTTTGACCGTTAGGTGCACAGGTTTCCGCAGGTTTCGATCCACGGAGCTGATCTGACATTCGTACTCCCCGGCGTCGTCCAGCCGGACCTGGTGAAGAGAAATCAATAACGGACTTAGATCTGACTCGTCGGACGGCTTCTCGGGCCGGCCCTGTTTTCCTTTACGTCATGGATCAAATTATTCTAATTCATCGAGGCTGTTATGGGAGACTGATATTGGATTAGCTTTTTCATAAGTATGGTCAGTCAAAAGGCCACGGTATGAGGACGTATAACATTTTTGAGCCACAGATGTAGACTTGTGAGATATAAATATTCCAATATATATCACCATGGCCAGTCCGCGGATTGGCCGGCCAAAGGCCGAAATCGAGCAAAGTTTCGGACTTTGGCCGACCAATGGGAGACGATATTGGCCAATGCGCGGATTGGCCGGCCATTCCGCGCATTGGCCGACTTCGGGCTTTGACCGTAACATATACATATATATGTTACGGTCAAAGCCCGAAGTCGGCCTATGCGATGTTACGGTCAAAGCCCGAAGTCGGCCAATGCGCGGAATGGCCGACCAATCCGCGCATTGGCCAATATCGTCTCCCATTGGTCGGCCAAAGTCCGAAACTTTGCTCGATTTCGGCCTTTGGCCGGCCAATCCGCGGACTGGCCATGGTGGACCGGCCAAAGTCTGATACAGCTCTTGATTTCGGCTTTTGGCCGGCCAGTCCGCGGACTGGCCATGGTGGACCGGCCAAAGTCTTAATTAGAGGAACATCTGGCTAGGGACGACCGGCCAAAGTCTGAATTAGAAGATCGTGAACAGATTTTGGCTTTTTTTTTTTATGCCGTAAGGATCATGAAATTAAGTCTTTATTGATTATTAATTAAAGTAAATGACAGAAACATTCAAATTTTTTATTTTACTATAGTCTCAATCAATCAATATTATCATCTGTTACAACAATTTGAACCTTTATGGCGTTTAGAATTACTTAGTAGCTTGTTATTTTTACACTTGCAGCGATTTGTTGAGCACTTGGTTGTGCAATTGCAGCGAGTGTAACCTTGGCCCCAGTCAATGACTGTGAAGATGCGATGGTTCGTAGTGATTTTTCCTCAGTGCCAACTGACGACAATAAGAGCAGTTTTTCGTGAAGAATTGAAAACTCACTTCTAGCATACAGTTGTTTTAGAACACCATGTTCCGTTCCTAATTTGTAGAAACCGCCCTCGACGCTCATGACAACTGCAATCACGCTTCGGGGATCACCGCGAACTCTCGTCAACATCTGGAACACGGATGCGTACATTGTCACCCACTTCAGCATCTTTAAATTTTGTATTTGATGTTTTAAGCATCTTAGCACCTTGAGTTTGCTAGCTAGTATGAGCTGCTGACCTGTGTTCCATGATGTCTAGTTTGTTGTGACATAATCCGCAGGTAATATTTCCTCCGTACCCTTCGTCTGCTTCATTGGGTATTCCAAAAATAGCATGGGCATCGTTGCCACAGGATCCATAAGAATGAGCTGCACTACAATGTTTTTCACAAACTATACAGAATCTGTTGGCCACATTATTGTCACGCAAGTGGTCTGGACGTTCCGCCACGGCAGCAGATGTTTTAGCTGAGGATGTCGTTGCATTTATGGCAGCCTCCATTTCTTGTTCAATGTTCTCAAGAAATCTGGAATGCAAGGAAATTCTGTCGGTATTTATCATGCAGTCCAGTCAAGGCGCGGTGATGGGTCTGCTTCATTTGGTATTCCCCTTTTGTTAGGGAAATATGGTTTCTGACGCCCACGCCATCTTAAGTCGCTTGGACACTATTGTTCAACTAACAAGGAAAGTCTTTTGAACATTCCGTCTTGTTGCAAATGGTCGGTGACGCCGACTGTCTTTGATTTTGTTCTTTGATGATTGTCATCAAGGAGGAGGCTGTCACACACAGTTGTAGCCCATATATAGAAACTAACATGGATTTATATTTTTTTCTTTTGACAGTCATATGCTATGTCTTTCTCATGGTCTGACGGCCCTTTTGATCCATGTCGCCTTGCATATAGAATGCTATACAAACAAGAGCTAAACAATACGTTACAATAAAACCGCACCCAGAATAATGAAAACGCGATCATAACTTAGTCTAGATAGAACATTGGCCAGGACATCCCGGCCAGTGCGCGCATTGGCCGGCCAATGTACAAAATACGCTGTCAAGTTTAAGCGCTTCGGACTTTGGCCAGTACGTCCCGGCCAGTGCGCGCATTTGCCGGCCAATGTACGAAATACGATCTTAGTGCTAAGTTCTTCGGGCTTTGGCCAAGAGAGCCGGCCAATGCGCGCATTGGCCGCACTTCGGGCTTTGACCGTAACATATATAATATAAATAAATAAATATGTATATATATATATATATATATATATATATATATATATATATATATATATATATATATATATATATATATATATATATATATATATATATATATATATATGCGCGTATGTGTGTGTGTGTGTGTAGATGCCAAGCTGTATAAGTGAAGACCGTGAGAGCAGGTTCCCACAATTTGGTTGTGTGAACGAAGTTCTATGAGGGTGCCACAACCAATGAGTCAGGCTTGCTGTACTCACTTGTTTGATGATGAGGTGCCAGTTGGCCTCCATGGGCGTGTGCTCCACGTTGATTCTCCCGTCCACCACAAAGGTGTTTCTCCCGATGGTCAGTGGGTTGGGGTCGGTCATCTTTCTCCAGATCACCTGTAACAGATGGGAATATGGAAATCTTGACCAAGTCACGAACACACTCAAACAAATATCTCAATTTGGTGCAAAAATAGGTCACAAAAACATACAGAAAAAAATGTGTATCGCACTCAGTGAAATGTGAACTTTGAACCACACAAAGGTCAAACAATATCGATTCCATCGCTGCTCGCACAAAAAAAAACCCAATAAAATAAATACACACAACAAAACAAAATCATTAAAAAAACTCAGAGGGCCTGGTTATGTTTATAGGTGCAAAAGAATTGCGGATATTTTGCAGAATTTCTGAATATACATGTCTTTTGACGTCCGTCTTTTATCCTGGGTTAATCGGTAAATTGTTCAAAAGATGGAACAACCGAGAAAAAGGGGTTGATAAAACAACGAAACAAATACCAACAATTTCCCCATCCTTACAGTGAAACACGTTTTCAAATCGATGGCGGTGTTATAGTAAATGAAGACATGATTCCCCCTCCCCCAATGACGCTCCCCACACTCCCTCCCTCCCTCCCCAGAAGACCCGGAGGGAATAAGGCAGTGAAACTTACTTGACAGCCATACAGTAATCTCATTAAAAACTAAATTCAATATTTCCCAAGAGGAAGCAATTGGAGGCAAACATAATTAATTCATTTTATTTTCCTTGGAGGAAATTAAAAAATCGTACCATTAGGCTTATCGATTCAATTATTTAATTAGAAAACATATTGGAATGGAGTTTTGTTTGTGCTAATTAATCTGATTAACATAGATGGAGATATGGAGAAACAAATTTGGGAAAAATAGTTTCGAGAACTCATCCTTCTGTAGACCCATTAAAATAGGGCGAAACAGGTTTGTAGAAAAAGGCTGGGAGGATTTCCCTTTGGATGTTCAGTCGACTGTGTTTATAAGTAGGAACCACGTGATCACTAGCTGACCATTAGCTTCAAGCTCTTGACCAATACCCGTGTACTGGAGATTGTTATAATGACCACTGGCTATCAGCTGAAAGAAGGCTATCTTTGGCCAGTGGGCAACAGCAGACTGAGCAAAATCTTGACCACTGGCTATTAACTGATATAACTCCTTCAGATTTAAAATTTGGGAATACGACGGACAAACAAATCACTGAAAGAAACTACTGAAAAAAAACCAAGCTTTGACCAATTTTATTTGAGACTGTCAGGATTGAAGAAAATAAAAGCTGGGCATTTGCGAACTGAACTAACGCAGATGAATTCAACTTAACGACAGAAAATCAATAGAGATAGAAGGGAAGGAAAAATATTATCCTAGAGAGGAAAAACTTCATTTGCCTCGTAGTGTTTTGTGTGATTTTAGACATGAACTTTTGGGACGAATTCTTTAAATTGGGAGCTAGACATGAACCTTTGGGACGGATTCTTTAAACTGGGAGCTAGACATGAACTTTTAGGACGGATTCTTTAAACTGGGAGCTAGACATGAACTTTTGGGACGGATTCTTTAAACTGGGAGCTAGACATGAACTTTTGGGACGGATTCTTTAAACTGGGAGCTAGACATGAACTTTTGGGACGGATTCTTTAAACTGGGAGCTAGACATGAACTTTTGGGACGGATTCTTTAAACTGGGAGCTAGACATGAACTTTTGGGACGGATTCTTTAAACTGGGAGCTAGACATGAACATTTGGGACGGATTATTTAAACTAGAAGCTTACAGGGCGAGTAAACATGGCGTCTTATGGCTTGTAGTTGTTGCTGTATTTGCTGTTTGATTTTAACGGTTGTAGTTATTGCTTAATTTTTTTAAAAATTTAAGCGGTTGAAGGTATTGCTAAATTGGTTATTTGATCCTATAAAATGATGCATTCTCATTCGTTTCTGGCAGATTGGGGATAAAGCAACAGTAAACGTTGGTGCTAATGTTAGGTGTGACGTATAATTATTTCCAGAGAAATCCGCACTGCCGATGGGAAATTTTTTTTACTGCCCTATTTGATATTAAACATTATTTTAAAACGAATTCTTAATCAGTTTATATTCATGGAAAGAGGCACCCTCTCGCTAAACTAGAATAAGGCATAAATATATTTAGAATTTAAAATAATTCATAAGGAAAACTGTACAGCTCTTATAAAGATGATAGAAGATTTTTGAGTTTCTCTTCTGACATAGGTAACATGCGTCGTCTATTTTCCAGATCTACGCACTGGTTATATTAAATTACTTTGCCTTTTAAAAAATGTATTTTTCCTTTTCCATGTTAGAAAATTATGTTGTCTTAATGCTTCAGACATGTATAGAAAATTTGCTTTACAAGAATCGTGTTAACAGACCTTAGTATAGTGACAATTGATGAATTATCTTTTATATTCATACAAGATATAGATTATACCCAAATAACTGTTCCTAATGTATGTATAATAAAACATTAATTAAAGAACAAGATAATTCATGAATGAAAGACAAATGATTATAAATGTTTTAATTTAAAATTCTTTTTGTCAATAAAAAGAAGTTAAATGCTTGTTTATCTTTGTTATCATTGAATTCATACTTATTTTAACCGCCAATGCAAACATTTATGGATTGTTTCCCTTGATCACTTTATAAAATCGAGTAGTGGTTCTTTCCCACATTTTTTTCGTGGAGAGGGGAAGAGGAGGGGCACTTGAAACGTTAAGAGAGGGTGAGGGCAGGACTCGAATATTCTTGGGGGCGGAGGCAGTGTCGACGCCAGCCAGGCTATTCAGCGCCCTAGGCAAAACTTTTTAAAACGCCCCCTTTCACACAAATCAATTACTAAAACCTGTATAAGAAAACAGTTTATTAAAATTTACATATAAATTTATTATCCATTGCATACACGTTATAAGTAGACATGAAAATAAAATTTTGCGTGCCTCTTTCGTCGCAAAAGTTTGTACTAATTCCTTCAATTCCAGTTTGTAAGCGTTATCACATTCTGTTGAAATTGTTGTTAAGTCTACTTTACGACAATACCCCCCCCCCTCCTCTCCCGGAAAAATAGAAGTCTGGAAAAAAATATTGAAAAAAAAAAAAGCATAGTTCTTGTAGGGTTGGGCTCTCTGCCTGACCTCCCAAGGTGAGTTCCAGAACGGAACTTACCTGTTTTAAGCTTGAATGTCTTTAGTTATAATTGTAAAATGTCTGTCTTGTGTGATTATGTAACGATTTGTTTGTTTTTGAAAATTAAAAGGTTATAAATGTTATAGATTCCAGCCTACAATTGTTATAAATGAATCCTTTAGGATAGGATAGGGCAAAAAACTTGAAAAAGACACATAATTAATTAGATGATTAATTTGCGACGAAGACGATTTTACTCATACTGTATGTCTACTAACATTAAGTATTGCAATCTACAACGGCTACTGGTGTGTTTGTTTTTCAACTTGATAATGCTAAAAAAACCTACCAAACTATTTTGTTTGGAACTTCTGCTCTTAATAACTTTTTACGATAGCAAAAAAAAAAAAAAAACAACTTAAAGTTGCATTTATAAGTGAGTGGTCAACCTAATACTAATGTGTAAGAATTTGAAATGAATGGAAAATTAAGCAAAGAATTACCTCCCATTTGGAAATTCAAATACCAAAAATTTATACAAGGGAAATAACTTTCACAAGAGTAGCTAAATTAACCTAGTGTAACTAAGACATTCCAGAAAAACACAATTAAAAGATCTAAATTTCATTACATAATAATTATAACAAATCTTTTATATTAGTTATGTAGCCGTGTCAAAAGAATTTATTTTACTGATTGACTACTTAACTATAGGTTTTGTTTAAAACCTAAACACGCTAGCTTTATTATAACATACTTCTAATAAATTTTGTTGACATACTCTAGTTGTTGAATGACGATGATGGGTATTGTGAACATTTTTTTGATCCCCTAAATAAAGGGACACCTTTAATAAAATTCAAATATCGTTAGTTAGAAATTCTATCCTATATAATATTATACTTTAGTACTTTAAAAGAGGTAATTTAAATTCCTAAAAAAAAAACTTAAGATTTTTTCAGCTAGAGAACGCCTACCTTTCTTTGTAGTGTGTACAAATAAAAAATACGACACTTTAACACTTCGATACTTTATACCTACGCAACATTTCATCAACAGCATTCCGCCGTTTGTCCCTAATCTAAACGATTCATCAAAACTTACCAAACAAGTACAATATTTTAAACATCCCGTCATTACACCAGAACAGATTTCTAATTCAAAGTAAGAGAAAACGAGACTTACAAGCCCTATTAAAAAACGAGCACTAAATCAACATTAAAATTAGGTAACCGTTTGGAATGTTCGAAATTTAAATTACGAACATATTTAATCGTTTTCTACATCAATTATGTAACACAAAAATAAAAAGGCAAAGTGACTAGTAAAAAGCGCCCCGACCTTTCTAAATAGGTCTAAAAAAATAAATATAGACCCAATTTTGGTGTGGGGCGCAACATTGATCGTTTGTCCTGGGCGCCGAAATAGATCGCTGCTCCTTTGTATATTACCATCCATAGTTTATAAAACATAATGAAAGTTATTAATTATTAGGTAATTTTTGATAATAGCGATTAAACCTTTTTGCCCTAGGCGACCGCCTAATTCGCCTTATAGTTAGCGCCGGCCCTGCCGGAGACTGTTTATATTTATACTAGCGTACCCGTCCTGCTCGTTGTCGCGGGCTGACGAAGCAGTATAAGAGGATTTTAGACGCGACACTGTTTTTTAGAACTAAATGTTGCAGGTCCCCGGCCGCCTGATTCGATTTAGACAGTGATTATAGTAGCCCATTGTAACCAAAGTGTATCGCACTCATTCAAACGAACATAGGCGCCATGGTGCATACGGGAAAGCCCAGGCCACGAAACGGCATCATGTCCGGGCGCCTATGTCAAAAGAAAACCTCTGAATGTGAAGGTAGCAAACACAATTTTAAGGCTATTAATCAGGGGGGATTTCCCCACTATGTAGGAGCGACTCTCTGATGGG